ATACATATAAAAACGTATAAAATCTTATTTATACATATAAAAACATATAAAATATTTTTATACATATAAATATCATTTTGTATGGTTTTTATATGTTTTTATATGAATAAAAAAAGAACAAATTACTGAAATCGTCTCTATGGTTTGGTTAAATTTGCGTGTTTGGTCCCTAACTTTTATTTTGCACTCGGACCGTCCCTATTGTTTTATTTGGTTGCGTTTTTCGTCCCTTACAGACAAGAAAAGACTATATCCGTCCCTCCCGCAAGATGAAAAGACTATATTACCCTTTCTATTCTTCTTTTTCATTTTTTTGCTATTTTATTTATTATTTATTAATTAAAGAAAAATAATTATTGAAATCGTCCCTCCCACTTGCACCACAACCACCATAAGCCACCGACAACCACCATAGGCCACTGAAAACCACCACCGGCACTGAAAGCCACCATCCACCACCAGTAACCACCACCAAGCGATTCCAACATCACTAGCATCCACCGATTTTAGCTCTAATACAGACCACATAATCGATTTCATTAATTCACACCCCAACATCAAATCCTGAAAATCAAACTTGAACATAGAAATCAAAACCATAACAAAATCAAATTCTAAAATCAAAAACCTAACCAAAGTCAAATACCAATATCCCAAAATCAAAACCTAAACTGAAATGAAATCCAGATATGGAATCAAAACCCAAAAGCAAAACCTAATCTGAAAATGACGATGAAAGAAAAAACTGATGAAATCCTTGAAATCAAATACAGTTTACCAGAAGAATGGGTTTAAATGGGAACAACACTCAATGAAGGAGATGGTGGTGGTTGGAGGATTCTGGCGGACACGATGCTCCATCTATTCAGGTAGATGACGAAGAAAGAAGAGCGAGGATGGAACAGATGGGGGCGGAAAGATGAAGAGAAGAGATTGGTGATGCAGATCGGTGGTTTCCTGGTGTCTTCCGGTGACGTTTCTAGGTGGTTTCTCGGTGATGCTTCATTGGTGGTTGTGGCTTCCGGTGAGAAATGAGAGGACGAGAATGGGATGAGGGAGATGAGTGATGACAAAGGAGGGGAAAGAGATAATGAGGTGAGGGACCCATATTTTTTATTTTTAATAATAATCTTTAAAAGGTTAATATTAAAAAAATCGAAAATAAATCAAAAAAGAAATGACCAAGGGTAATATAGTCTTTTCATGTCTGTGAGGGACGAAAAACGCAACCAAATAAAACAATAGGGACGGTCCGAGTGCAAAACAAAAGTTAGGGACCAAACATGCAAATTTAACCAAACCATAAGGACGATTTCAGTAATTTGTTCTAAAAAAAATTATATGTATAAAACACATTTTATATGCATAAAAAAAAGTTTTTATATGTATAATTAACATTTTGTATGCTTTTATATGTATAAATAACACTTTATATGTATAAAAAATGTTTTTTCCGTATAAAAAAATTATACATATAAATAACATTTTATATGTTTTTTAATATATATAAATATGTATATTTACATATAAAATCGTATAAATAACATTTTAAAATATTTTTAATAATAATAATAATATATTCTTCCAGAATAGTATAGATTAAATAATTTAACTAAGGGACAAGTTCATGAATATCGTCGTAGCCTAGTGGTTGAAAGCGTCGACCGTCTCCTGTGAGACCCGAGTTCAAAACCCATCCCACTCCTATTTTAGACCTTTTTTGGTTTTCAAAAGTGACGCTGACGTGGCTTAGAAGGTCAAAACCCTCCAAGTCATCCAGCCAACTTAGGTAACCGGCCTTAGAAGGTTAAAACCGGATAATTGGCAAAATCTAACAAGTTTTCCTAAATATTATGGTATTAATGAACAAAAAAATGGACTTTGGGTATAACCAACTATTTCATGTAAATTTAGCAGTTTTTATGACAAAAACCCTTATTTTATTAATTTTGACCTCCAATTAAATAACATTTCCAATTGTTACGTTTTTTCAATAGTTTATTATGAATTTAACTTATTTATTCTCATCTATCTAAAAAGTTTCATAGCACATCCATATTTAATTAGTCATTTTTTTAAACATGTTATATTTTAATACAAAAAAAAATTAAATAAAGATTATCACTAGAGATTAATATGTAAATGTTTAATTAATTAAAAAAATATATGATAGAAATAATTCAATAGTTACAGAAATGGAAAATGTTTAAACTAAAATATAATTAAGAGTAAAAATAAAATATGATAAAAAAATGTTAGATGTTTAAAGCATTCTTTTATATATATATATATATATATATATATATATATATATATATATATATATATATATATATATA